AAAAGTTTCTCAGCGGATTTGGGCTGTACTCAGCAAGCGCAGTACAGCCCCCAACTCAGATTTGAAAAAAAATCAGTGGATGGTTGTTTACTGACTGGTTGGCAGACCGCCGACCTGTCGGCCCTACTGGTCGGCTGCAATACGGTCGGCGGTCGGCAGCTATGCAACCCTGCTGTTCGTCTGAGCAGCGCTGTACAGTGCCAAACTACGTGGCAACGGAGCAAATCACACAGCTCATTTTTTTCGTCTGCATCTAATAATGATATAAAGAAGAGGAAGAAGAAGAAGAAGAAGAAGAAGAAGAAGAAGAGGAGAGCAGGAGGAGGAGGAGGAGGAGGAGGAGGAGGAGGAAGAAGAAGGAGAGGAAGAAGAGTTCTGCCTGTGCTTCCGTCCCTGTTCCTGGTTCTTGCATTTTTTTGTGTTTGCTGCTCATCCTCGGGGTACCAGTTCTTGCACACGTTTGAAAATACAAAAGGATTTAAACCACCAGTACACACCATACATCGCCTGCGGGGCCCTTTTGGAGGCCGAAACACGACGCCGATGTCTTCTGTCGACGGCGCGAAGCCCTGAACTCCTCGGACCCGGCGACAAGTTTCTTTTAGCAAGGCTGGGGCCATGGGTACTGGCGGTTTAAAAGAACCCTTTTCCAATTTCTCATGGTCTCTGTGGATCTGTTCCTTGTGAAAGGGGCAAAGGTAGCAAACGTATGGGCTGGAGATTGAGTTGAGAAAATGGAAATGGGGGGGAAAAAGATGAAAGCTGGATTTGACGACAGCGAAATCAGTGTCAGACTGTCAGTCGTTTGGTCTCAGTGTGTTTGTTTTCTCCTTGATTCCTTCCACCGCAGTTGCTGAGCATGGGATTCAAGAGAAGCGACGCAGAAGCTGCTCTTGGCACAGGTATTGTTCATCAAGAAGGGATGACTTCTGTGGAAGACATTGTTCTTGAGGCAGTCGAATGGTTGATGTCACGGCCGGCTGCAGCTGCCAGTGCGGATGACAATGGCGGTTACAAAAATGCAACTGGGTCGATACAGAATGCTGGCAGGCATGAGCGAATTCCACAGCAATCTTCTCCCTCAACAGTTGACCTGTCTGAGTGTTCTGACATGTGGGTCGGTGCAGCGTCCGATTCTTTCCATCCAAGTGCAGCTCCTGCTCCTGCATCCGCTGTTTCTCCTAAATACGGGAACAAACGCGCGGGATCAGCTCTGCGGCAAGCGAAGGAGACGTCATTCCATCTGGATAAACAGTGTGTCGCAGGCACTACTCGCAATTCAAAAGAAGGAATGGCGCAACCGGACACTGTACCACTGCAGAAAGAGAACGCAACTGTCGGTTTGCAGGTGGAATCGCTGTCAACACAGACAGCACATCTAGGTGCATCAAGGCAGCTGGCGCCATGTACAGCAAGGCCGCCGAGGGAAAGAGCAGCTCTGCAAAGGGAGATAGACTCAGATTTTCCCCAGCAGCCTCCGATGGCCCAGTTCTCGATGTCACAAACTGACTGCGGGGAGCCATGCGGATTGTCGTTATCAGGTGATAGGCAGTTTCTGAACCCATTCTTTTTCATCATTTTCTAAAAGGGGTTAGCCCTGACATTGCTACATTGATGTAACTCCATCATGGTTCGAACTTCAAGCTCATGATCTGTTCTCTACGGTTACATGCATGTACCATTCATCCGCATGGACATGTTTGTTTGTTT